GAACCTTTGACCCGACCTTTTTACCATCCACCCACCTGCCCCCTCCGCAGCTCGTTTCTCTCTCTCTCTCTCTCTCTCTCTTTCTCTTTCTTTCTTTCTTATTCGAAGAAAATTTCTGGCATAAAACTTTGCCCAAAGTGGGAGCCAGAAAAAGATATGTAGTTTCCCCGGTTGTCCCGCTTTCCTTCCTTCCTTCCTTCCTTCTTCCCTTTCGTCACGAGAGAGGAAGAGAAAGAAACGGGGACTTAGGATCTGGTCCATCTCTCAGCAGGCCATCTCCGGTTTGCGAAACGCAAGACGGATCCAAATGTAAAAAGGCGTGTCCTTAAATAATGCATAAGACGATGCAACAAAACTTTATTGTAATTTCCCAGCAGAGTTAAACTTCAATCCGATTTTCAGGGGGGAAAAGATTTTTCTATTGGCAGCTACTCTCTACCAACATTCCTGGTCCTATCCCTATTTTCTTTCTCGAACGTTTCGTCGAACTTTAATCCGCGTTATTTCGCGACTAAAGCATTAACGTTGTTGGCCGGGATAAATGAGAAAATAAATATTCTCTTTTCTCTCTTGTGTAAGGGGGAAAAAAAGAAAATAAAAATATAAAATGAAATGAAGAGGGGAGAAAAAATGCAACGGCCCTTTATAAAGTTACGCATACGTACGTACGTAAGCGTACAATTTTCATTGTTTATAATCGAATAGAATTTGAATACTGCATTACAAATAAACTCGTATCTTATTTATGGAAATTGAAACGTTCAATTCAAACCGACCCCGGTCTCTCTGGAAATAGATTAATAATTATTCTTGTTTAATTTTACTTCTGTTTCTAAACGAACCTCACAAATTCACGTTGTTTTCCACGGAAATAACACGCGCATACTATAATAAATATATTATAAGTGTGTGTATGCTTTTTTCCGAAATACGCCTGTATAGACTTTAGTTTACTTCACCGTTGATATAAAATAAAGATAATATCGTCTGCAGTTTTTTTTCAACTACATTATACATTCAAGCCCTGCTTCAATGTAGTACGCCAACGAAAGGAAGGATAGAAAACGCAAAAACGTACGAAGAGAATGAAGAGAGAGAGAGAGAGAGAGAGAGAGAGAGAGAGAGAGAGAAAGAGTGAGGTAAAAAGTCGGTAAAAAAGGAGGAAGAAGAAAAAAAATACGAAAGGGAAGAGAAGAGAAGAGAAGAGAAAAGAAAGGTAACCAAAAATAAACTACAAAGAAGAAAAGAATAAGAAAAAGTAAGGAAAAGAACGAAATGAGTAATGACTCATAAGTTTTGCATAATGTTAATTATACCTACTCGGTTGGAGGGTAATACTAACGTGGAGGAACGGGAAAACACTGAAAGGGAGAACGGAGGAACGATATCGTCCGGACCATTTGAGGAAAAAATCGCGATACCGCGTACCGTGCCGCGTACCGTGCCGCGTACCGTGCCGCGTACCGTACGATATTTGCATACAATGCAGCGACCGACCCGCTAAACGAAAGAGAGAGAGAGAGAGAGAAAGAGCGCACTCGATGCACAAACAATAGTGCACTCGTCTCTTTTTTTTCGTCGATGATACTGCTGTACAGCAGAGAGCAAGWGAGTGAGAGAGAGAGAGAGAGAGAGAGAGAGAGAGAGAGAGAGAGAGAGAGAGAGAGAAAGCACACACGTGTTCGTGCCGCCGTAACGTAAATCATACCACGAATAAATCCAAATCTCTTGTCGTGGATCCTGTTCTGTTCCTGGCGTTTGTAAGCGACAAAATGGATCTTCTAACTGTCTCTCTCTCTCTCTCTCTCTCTCTTTCTCTCTCTGTTCTGTTATCATAGCACGCAGCAACCCTCTTCGCTCCCAACCAACCCATACCCCGATCTACCCCCGCGTTTCCCCCCCATTTCATCCGTCTTATTGTAATTCCCTTTAACGAGTGCGAGAGATCGTTCCTAAATTTTTTTCCTCTTCATCCTCTTTGGCAATGCCAGCGAGAGCGTTTTTAATTGAAATCGCGAATCGTTTTTCAATCCGTTCCGCCATTCAAAGTATTACATCGCTATATATACGCATAATCAAACATGCCACCAGCGAGTATGCTTCGTAAAACAATATTCTTCCATGATATTTCTTTGATTCTCCGCTCGACGTGTTTTATCCATCTTCTTTCGTTATCTATAATATATCAAATAATGAATACGTTGATTGGCAATATAAAAAACGTTTGCATGCATCTCTTTCATAATCGTTAAAAAGAATAAGACATAATCCCTCCAAATCTTCTCCACTTCTTCTTTCTATTTATTTTGTTTGTCATCCCTTTCCCTTCTTATTCCTACCAGAGAAGAGTAAAACTTCAAAGAAAACGCTCAGACATTTTTCCAAAGGCTGCGTTAACGCTCGAAAGAATCAATGTCGACGATGCAGTAGTAGTAGTAGTAGTAGTAGTAGTAATAGTACTGGTAGGAAAGAGAGAGTTGCAATTGTCACGAGCTTTGTAATATGACGCGGTTGTATTACGTGCGCGCTAAGAAATGAGAGGAAAAAAGAAAAAAGAAAAAAGAAAATAAAAAACAGTATGAATCCCGTATGTGCCAGTGCGTATAAAAAGAGAGAATGAAAAATATGAAAGTACGTATAGATGTAGTCGCGATATTACGCGGTAAACGTAATACGACATGGCGTTACAAGCTCGAGCGCGGAAAAAGTAAATTAGCATAGAAAGTGAGAGAGAAAAAGAGAGAGAGAGAGAGAGATAGATATACGAAACGAAACGAGAGTGATTCGCGAAATATGTCTCTTGTTGCGGCCGTTGTTTCCTTTTTTTTTATTTTATTTGATTATTTTTTCCCTTTCATTCCTTTCACGTTGTATATATATATCTTTTTCCGAGTAGTTTTAACGAAAAGGAAAGGGTTGCAAAAAAATGAAATGGTCGATCGCAAAAACAAAAAGAAAATAAAATAATGGACGATTCGTTACTAGCTGTGAAGGGGGCGGGGGCAGGGGGAAAGGTAGGTATGGGGGAGGTAGGTATGGGGGTATCAAATGAATGAGGATGCTGGCGATAAAATTACAATCAGGATGCGGATCTAGCGATGCTCCGGTAATGATCGCGATTCGTTTGTCCAACGAATTTGTAAAGAGGACACACCGAGAGAGAGAGAGAAAAGAGAGAAAATAGGATGATCGACCAATTGTTCTCTGGTATTCGCGTTAAATATGCGGGATAATTAGCAATTAAAACGGTGTACGCAACGGAACTCGCATGACGAACGGCAGATGCTGCTGCTGCCTTTTCCCATCGATACGTTTTACCACCACCAGCACACCACCGTGCGAACGATTCCTTTTTATTAGTCCTAATTGCGAGAATTCGCGTAACACTTTCATTATCTTCATGATCGAAGTAAGCTTCTATTTATTTCATCAGTATTTTGTCGAACAAATGCTCGAGAAGAAAATTTTCGTAAGGAAACCTGACGCAACCCTAACACAGAAGGAATTGCATCATATCGACATAAATATCGTATCAATAAATAATAATGTCATTTTATCGAGTAACATATTATATTTAATGCGTGTTTAACGAGTCAGGTGTAATTAAAAAAGTAAAATAGGAAAATTTTGCAATTACTTTGATACCATTTTAATTGTCTCCGGGGAGCCATCGAATTCCGAGCTAATTTCGTGCAAACTCATCCAATTTAGGTGAGGCTACAGGGAATGGGATCGTTTATGACGAGACGACCCGAGGAAGAGTAAAATGCAACTCCTTTATGGGAGTTGGCTCGCACGGGAGATGACAGCTACGTGACCGCGAAAATCAAACGATCTTCCCCTTCGTGCCCTCTCCCCTCTTTCTCGTCCACGCGACACATCCCATCCCCCTTTTCGTCTCTTTCTCTCGAAGCTTTTCCCTCTCTCGGATCTAATTCCCTGGCGAAAACGATTTCCCGCTAGTTGCAGCAACGAGTTCTTCCGATACCCCCTGCCACGTTGTTACCCCCCTACCCTTCCCTTCCTTTCGCACCTTTTTTCCCACTCCCTTTCTCTCTCTTTCTCTATAGGCGAATTCGAGAGACCTTTCATATCGGTTTGCCGATCGCGTACTAGCTACCCTCTATAAAGTCATACGATCCTTTGATGATCGCTTGAAAAGAGCCATCCCGTTGAGGCTCGTATTTCACGTAAGACCGATCACTCGAAGAAAATTCTTCAAACAAATAAGATAAGAAAGTTAGTATCTTATCTTACGACGTTACATTATACTTTCAATGTCTCTACCTACCCTTGTATATTTTGTCGTAAGATCTTATTTGCTATTTTACACCTATAATTAAGTATATAGAGGAACGTTCGAAGGAGTGTAAGGAATTTTGCTTGAATATTGAACGTTATAATTTTCAGCGAGAACGTTGCGTTGAACGTCTTAATAAACCTTCAATCTTCATCGAAACGGTGGAGAATATTTTCTATAAATTTTTCTACGAGAGGAGATGCAGGTATATCCCCTTGGAAAAAAAAATAAAATAAAAATTAGAAGAAATAAAAAAATAACAAACGTGTATTATACTTTAATCACCGTCGCACGGATATTACCTATTATATTCATCTCCCCGTTTTCGGTATGCAAATATAACGTAAAGGTGCTTTTGAGACATCTTACGACGACGCGCTTTCTTACACCGTGGAAAAGCACTTGGCAAAGATCGACTATGTATACGTATCTACAATATTATTCATTTTCCATTTTCCTTTGCGCGTTTTAAACGCGACTTCAACTTTCAATGAAATTTCTCCCCTTCATCGCGCGCCCCGCCGTTGAAGTTATCTGTCCCTCCTGTTTTAATATAAACGATTTTCAAGAAGAAACAGAAAGAGAAAGAGAAAGGGAAGGAGCTTAATAAATAAATGAAATTTGTGAGTTTACGAAAAGTGATATACATCGGTAATTGATGTCTGCCGTTGCAGTTTGTTGGAAGTCTCGTCGTACTTACTGGTATTTTTCTCTCTATACTGTGGTAGTACTCCGGCAACGAGACAACCTAGAGTCAGGTACACTGCGAACCAGGAACGGTCCATTGTAATACGTTGTGCTGTAACAGAAACGTAAAAAAGACTTTTCAAGTTATTTCGATTTGCAACTTTTCCTTTCGTTTCTTGGCTGCTTTGCAAGCAAACGTTTGCTTCGAACGAGACGCCTTTCCTTATATTGGGTTGGCAACTAAGTGAGTGCGGATTTGTTGGTTGGCAACTAAGTGAACAAAAACTTATTGAAAACACAGCCACCCGAGGCCTTTAAAAGTTTAAAAGACTTCCTCTTTAAAAGTAGGGATGAAAATAAGAAAGATTAGGGAGGGAACAAATTTGAACACACATTATTTTAATAATTTCTTTATATATATATAGATATATATTTACGTAAGTACTTATTTATACAAAGAGATAAAGAGATATATAGATAGATAGATAAAAAGAAAGAAGAGAGAAAGAGAGGTCCTGTAGGTTTTTATTAAAGTAACCACAAGTGCACTTAGTTGCAAACCCAATAATTAAGAATATTACGAGAAAGATATTGGATCGCGGTATTTGAAAAAAGGAAAAAGTAGAATATTATCGTTGGTACGTAATTCTACTATTTGCAATATCGTCGTGGACGTTTGAACGGAGGGTGGAGCATTCCGTCCATCCCTCGAAATCCTCCGCGTTCGGAGAGCAGTATCCGTTCTCTCTCCCTCTCTTTGTCTCTCTCTCTCTC